CGGAGAAAAAAAGTAAGCCGGAAAAATCTTCATACAATTGTAATAAAATCGCTCAACTGTGACTTACTTCTGAGCTGTGTCCAGCAAGTCTTTGAAGTCGTCCAGCAGCGTCCCCCCGTTGTCAGGTGCTGTGACGTAACCGTTGTTGTCAAACTTGGGGGTTGTCTCCCCCTGAATGTGTATCCACAGTCCTGTTCAAAGTCAAAGCATTTGTGAGACAACGTGTTGGAATCATGCGGTACTTGTTATTATTAATTTTTTTTGGGGGGGGGAGGGGGTATATGGTACTGGTATCATCTAAAAGCTCGTTCATTTGGCTTGATTCTGATTAAGGAATTACCCATCTTTCCACAATAGAAGTTGATACGTTTGTGATAGAAAGAAGTGGGGGTCGCACTGTGTCAGAGGTCAAATTAGTGAGGAAATAATCGCCAGAGTTTGGTGACTTCCAAAGCATGCGAGTTCTTGGAAACTAAACAAGTTACATTTTTAAAAATCTTTCATCAACGTTTTTTCAATAAAATCCACACAGCGAAAAAATGTTGATTGAAATTGCCATATCTGCGGAAAAATGCCAGTTTCTTCGAATTCATTGTTTTGACGAGGGCTTAATTTCACCACGATGTTTAACATTTGGGCAGAAAAGAGTCTCAGTTCTTGACATGTACATGTCTTTCCTAATGGAAATAACCCCCGTACGAGCAGCTCCCGTTATCATGTGTTTATTAAGTGTTAAGTAATGATATGTGTTTCAGTCGAAAGTTCTCTCACGATCAATTGGTACGTATGTGGGAAAAATATTCATATTCAGTTGAACATGTTATGACAGCCACCTGCTGGTGAAACGGACACTTTCATCCCCCCCCTCCCCTGCGGTATCTTTTCGCGATAATTTCCATGTATAAAAAGATCATCCGCCCAACGCGGCCAAGGCGACCATATTATGTTATCAACCTACAACCAAAATTACTCGTCTAAAAACGGGCACGCATCGCCCGACACCAGCCTTTGTCATAAATTATGTTTTTTGACCCCTGACTTTGTTGACGAGTCGTCCCAATCCATCCACCTGTCATTACTGCTAGTCTCTCCAATGATCATGTTGCTTTTGCCGCTCCCAATGTTTACCCAAGTTGACCAATAAAATTTAATAGGCAACAATCACTTTTCAGCGGCTGGTGAGGGATAAGTGTGTGATCCGCAATTATAACCTATAAACCCCGCCCACAACTCGTACACAATGAATCGTAAGTGAAGTGAGAGTTCACTGTATAGCCCTTCCCAGTCCGTAAACCCAGTAGGCCTACATAGCAATGGACGTTAACACAAACTCGCGATAGAGGTGTCGCTGGTTCGCTGAGTGGTGGCGACCCACTTGTTTGTTTTACTGTGGTACTCGGCCTTCCGCATCGAACTCGAACAAATTTCGTTTTGTTTTAACCTTGCAGAAGCCATAATTAAAAACATAAAGCTGACAACAACAACGACAACAACAACAGCAACAACAAAAAACACATAAACCTTCCTCCCCCCCCCCCCCCATTCTTGTTCAAAAGAAAAACAAATTAATGAGCCTCAGGGCAGTCCTAAGCCTGCGACGACCTACAGTTGAGATTTCAGAAGCTTGTTGTTTGTTTTCTTCATTTTGATCAGTCCTGCGTATGACGGCCACCTGTCTTATATGGCCATTTTTCTCCTCGACAATGCGTGGCTGTCTTACTCAGGTTCGATTTTAATTATATTCTTTTCTGTGTATTTCTATATCTTGAATATTAATTTCTAAATTAAAATTTAGTTTTTTTTAAGGTAGATTTCTTAGTAAATTAAATGTACATGTAGTTCTGGTAAACTTACGCATACTGTTTCCCCCGGCTTGATGTAGAAGCCTGAGCTGTTCTTCGATCTTTGGTTTCGATCTTGCCCACTGTCCATTTCCAAAATCGCGCGCATAGTTGATCCAGGCAAGGTTCGCGCCAGACAAGAAGACATGGTGGTTGTTAAGTTTGAAGACGTTTCCAGAGACCGTTAATCTCTGTTGACTGGACGCTGGAAAAGTCAACGGGGAAATTGTTGTTGTTTTGTGTGTGTGTGTGGCTTAATTCAATAGATTTTTTTCGGTTCTGGTTTTTTGTTCGCTTGTGCGTTTGTTTTGTTTTAGTTTGATGTTTGTATTTGGTAGTGTGAGTGTGTGTGTGTGCGTGTGCAAAATGAGTTACTTCTCGGATTCAGGCCTTAAGGAAATAGATATATCACACTTATAGGTGAAGTTTTTACAATTTATAGGTATGAAATATAAGGAGTGTTATACTTAAAGAATATGGCATCTATAGAAAATTTACAAATTTGACCCTATAGTGTCAATTTTTGGTCAATATCTCCATATTGTGACTGCTTTTTTTGGGGGGGGGGGGGCTGATAATTATCCATTTAGTATTATCCTTTCTGTCTGGTAAAAGGACGTATCTAATATTCCTTCACACTCAAATATTTCTTGTCTTAATCTGATTACACGACAATTTATGTGGTACACTGTCAGACAACCTTGATGTAAAAAGCATTAACTCTTAAAGAACGTATCGAAAACAGAATGTTTTCCAATTAGCAGCTGGCCAAAGGTAAAGTTGCTGTACATTTATTTGAACCATTATACACATACCATAAAGGTGAAGTTGTATGAATCTACGAATCATGGCATACTTGTAGTTGCATGCCTTTTAAAGTTTGAGATAAAGAAAACGGAATCGAAAAATCTTGTTTTAATAATGAAGTTATGCCTCCAAACAGCACATCATCAAGCGTTGTCAAATGATCGGAGTGCAATGTCTTTTATGAATTAAGCCGAGAATATGATAATCTAGGGACACTGACACAGCAGTAAATCGAAAGTACCTACATGTATTTGTATTTTAATTTCAACCCGTAGATTAGGTAATATTTGATAGATAGATAGATAGATAGATAGATAGATAGATAGATAGATAGATAGATAGATACTCACCAACTGCAACCAAAGCTGCCAACAAGACCAGACAAGCATTCTGGAATTCAAAACATTTCGATGTTGAACTGTTTTTAAGTTTTGAGATTGGCATTTTCATACACTTGTGACATTGCACAGATTAAACCATTAGTTTTCTCTGCGATATACGTGTACGTTTATGTATAAACATATATATATATATATATATATATATATATATATATATATATATATATATATATATATATATATATATATATAAACAACCTTAGCTGTCTTATCTCTTTCAAAACCGGTTCTGGGATTGGTCCAATGTCTTTCCTTTATTTAAAGTTTCTAGTTTGGTTATCCCCTTTTCAACACACGTTTGCTGCTTGAGAGGCGGTTTCTCGTGTTTCACATCTTGGCAGCTGGGATAAGAGAACAAAGACGATAATTTTTGTGTGTTAAAACGAATAGAATTTACAGGCTGATGTCAACTGAAACTACTGGTTTCGAAGCAGATCATAATCATTAAACATTTTTTTTAAAAAACGTTCTTTTTATAGCAAACATTGCTTTAAGAAAAGCCAGAAAAATATCTAACCAGCTGATAACTAGCATGGTCAACAAGCAGACCATTTCATGGATCCTGGAGAGGAGGGGTCGAAGAGCGCAGGGGCGAAGGCTGATATTTTGTTTGACATGGTAATCAAAGTGAGACAAGGGACCAGATAGAGATGTCACACAAGAATCTTACTCGTGGCGGCAACGTGAAAACAACTCCTGAATTCATATTGTATGTTCAACAGCCAAAATAATCGGGAAAGTGTCTCATTAGATATTTATTCCAGCTAACAATACGTTCGGCTGTTTTTTTGTCTAGCTTTTCGCAGCCAGGAGCGGGTGTCATAATCGAGGTCACGATCTGATTATAGGACGGTAAAAAGTCGGGGGAAAAGAACAAGCACTAGCAGCGCAGTCATAGGGTTATTAGGAGTTAGTTCTCTTCACTTTTGTGAGGATGACTCGACCAGTGTTATATTTAGTCTATATAATCAGTGCTTGTGACTGCTTATGACAGTGGCCCGAAAGGGGTGAACAGGGTATTAATGTAGCAATGAAACAGTTTCGAGTGTTGTGGAACCTGTTCCCATCAACTCCTTAGGTAGACTCTTCTAACATCACTTTAAACTTACATAATCAAAGCTTGTGACTGCTTATGGAGCGGCCCGAAAAGGATGAATAGGGTATAAGTGGCAATGGAACAGTTTTGAATGCTAGGCATACTGTTCATTGGTGCTTGTGAACGTCTTTTAAGTTTTTACATGTAATTTATCAGGTCTACGTCTAAGGGGGAATTGGACTGCAACAGTGTTCCAAAATTCGGAAGGAAAGCAGTGATTATTTTTGTATAGACGCTTGGCTATGGCATTGTGCCGCCTGCAATGATGCTTATTCTCCAACCAAGTACATAATATGTAAGTAAGTACAGTGCTTTAGAGACATTTTGATGCTTGGGCATAGTATTGAAACGTTAGCTTCAGTGGCATAGTTGGTTTATTTTTCGGCAATAAATGGTCAATTTAATCATACATTTTAATTGCCTAATTTTAGTTTCCATTCAGAAATTTTGCCAGAAAAAAGCATTTAAAATGTTTGCACTTCTTTTTACAAATGCTCATACAAATGGCTATGCTTAAAAATTCTTAATTTTATTCTGTTCTACAAAGAAAGTAAGACAAAACAAAGAACAAAGTCTTTGGTTAACAATAACAATTGACAGTCTGAATTTTAGCAGGAAACGGAATAAATTAACAGACGTCATAAGCGACACTTAATAGATTAGAAACAAACATAGACACATGCCATAAGAGACTTTTCTTTTAAATACTCATTGTTATTTTTTACAGAAAAATAGGAAATCGCATTTCTTCAACTACGTTTTCGACGCACAGGAGAACAAAGACAAAATAAAGAGAGCATTGATTGCGTACCTTCATGGTGTGCAGTGTGGTACCAAATCGTGCAAGAGAAAAGTGCGGTGATTGTACCGAGAAGTGTCTCGGTCGTGCTGTATAAACCGGGGCTCTCATTCATTTTATACGTACCAGCTGACCTTACTATGTCCTTGGCATCCAAACTTGATGCCAAATATAGTAAGCTAAAATAAAGCAAAATACCGAGCTGGGAGTATCGTCCTTGGCATAACTGTTACTAATCTAGAAATGTGATACATGTGATAAGAGCATTAGACAATGTCAAAGCAGTACACGCACGTTTAAAAAAAAGTGAGAGGGGAAGTAAAAAAAAAAGTAATGCAAGTTGTTCGCTATTTTGCACAATTAAATGTAGATGCTCCTCTTGAATTTGAGGAATGATAGCTGCAACTGCTTTCTTTTGTCTTTAATTTATAAACGAACCATCATTGCTCTTCGACTCCCCTCGTATGTAGAGTAGCTTATTTTGAAATTACGACCCAGGCATTGACATCTGTGGTGCAGCGGTTAGGCACCTCACCGTGGCACGCAGAAAAGCAAGTTCAACCCCAGAGAGAAAAAAGTATTTATCAAGTATGTCGTCGGTTTTTGTACGGGAACGTCAGCTCTCTCTCTCTCTCTCAACGCTGGTTGGCCTGGACAAGCAAAGGTCAAAGACTGCCTCTTAAGTGACCAATAAAACTCCTCTGTCCTTACTCGTACAATTTACGACCACCTTACAGAAATGGCATTGTCTCTGGGAAATAGCGAGAAAAGAGGGAGCAAACTTTGGAGGCTCTCGTTGTCTAGAGGTTACTGTGTTCGCCTCTCAGTCAATAGGTCCCGGGTTCGAAACCTGACATCGAAGGAAAATAATTATTTTCTTCTCTAAAAATTGGTTGGCAATAAATCTACTTGAATACGTCTGCAGTCATATTCTGTACCCCTGGAGGTGTCATCTCTGACTTACAGTTTTTGATTAAAGAAAGGTAAGTGTTTTAATGCGCTCGCAACTGGTCATATGAGCCAGCGGGACTTATTTAACATTTTAAGTGGGTGGGAAATTTCGAAGTTTCTCCGGGTGGCAGCTGAAGCCTACTCTTATCGAGTTTGGACCGCCAAGGGATCTACAACTTGCACTCGGGACCTCAGAAATTTTTCGCCCTTGTCCGAGAAGGCTAGATGTAGATCTTTCCTACCATAAGATCAGGGGTGTGGCTGAAAGACAACAGTAAGAAGGAGCCAGGAGTAGCAGTAGAATATTTAAAGGCTCCAGAAAGAGCCGGGAGCCCGGAGGAGGGGCCAAAGGGGGCGGAGACGAAAGCAGACGATAGGACATTGATAGAGAGCAGAAAGGAGGTGAAAGGAGTCAATTTTAGAGCAGAAAAATCTCCGTTGCTATCCGGATTCGAACCTGGGACCTATTGAATAGGACGCGAACACCTTAACCAGTAAGCCACGAGAGCCCGCGCTCTGAGTTTGACTTGTAATTACCCTCCAGCGCTTTCGGCCGCCAGCTGCCGATCCACATTCTGTCATACCTAGGGCAGTCCATGTCTTACTCCTTAGTGTTGTCCATGTTACTCTTTGTCTGCTCCAGCTGGCTCACTTGACCCCCATCCTGCCCTCAAGCACCCTTTTCACAATGGTTCGATAGCGTTTTGTATGATGATCAACGTTTTATATTTTTCTACTTTTCATTTGGTTAAGCAGGGTTTTCTCTTGTGTGGAGAATCTGACACACCTCGCTCTTTTCCTCCCCAGCTCATTCTGGCCATTATTCGGTAGCATTACAGCTCAAATGCAGCTATTTTTTTTTCTTCTTTCTTTGTTAAAATCCAGGTCTCAGCGCCATATAGTTTTGGAAAATATGGGAAAGATGTAGCACTTCATCATGTTCTTTCTTAAAATGGTCATTGTAATTCCGATTGTACAGTACGTTTAGATGCATTGAAAGTCTTACAAGGGCTATAACATGAAAAGTGACACATGTAAAGTGGAGATGGGTTTAAATTTTTATGTAGGTGTTTTAAGACCCCATCGACACAATTTAGATAGTATTATATATAGGGTGCTAGCTTCCAATCCTGCCTGCCAGGGCCTACTCGGGCTGAAAGGAATACATCCCAGTCGAAAGACCGAGATATAATGTTCTCCCTACTCGGGAATCAAACACGGGTCCCCTGCGCGAAACATCTAACTGCTGCACCAAACACGTCAGTGGCAGAGATGATGACCTACTGAAAAAAAATTCAAAGGAGTGATAGAGACATTCTTTACATACACACACACACACACACACACACACACACACACACACACACACACACACACACACACACACACACGCACACGCACACACACAGACACACACACACATACATACACAAACACATATACACACACAAACACACACACTCTCTCTCTCTCTCTCTCTCTCTCTCTCTCTCTCTCTCTCTCGCTCGCTCTCTCTCTTTCTTTCTTTCAGCAGGATACCATCCCTGCTTTACGTCAATGTAATTGTTCATAGCAAGACTCATTCTAAGGGTACATGAGTATTAATTAGAGCATTGTGTAAGTCTGTTTCTTTTCTCCACCTTTGTATTAACATCTGGGCCCGGTTCTTCTCTTTTAAAATTCCCTGTTTTTTTTGTCCAACAGGTCATTAAACCAACACATAGACTATAAAATGCAGACCAAGAAATTTTAAAAAGCAAATCAAAAGCAAGAAAAAAGTAGGTCTTTCTGTCTGAGAATAAGAGTGGTCAAGTTTTGCAATGCGAAGTCCATAAATTGCTGAATTGTTTTGTTACTTTTTTCATTGCACGTTTGTTTTCAAGACCGAAACCCCAGTGCCTACAATGAAGGTATGCAATCACTTCTTTCGTTTTCAGAAGCAAAAATAAAAACAATGAATTAATTTTATTGATTAATGTTTAAAAAGATTTTTAAAATACCACCCTCCCCACAAAACTCAAAAGAATACAACAGGCCTGTCGTGCCATAACTATTAATTTACACCACAATCAAAAGAAGTGGGCATTTCTTTAGCTCATAATTCAGTATTATGATGGACCTCGGAATGGATAGCTGTGGTTCGAATCCCAGAAGGGTAATTAAATTGTTGAGTTTTCAAGGCTATCAAACCATTCGGCTCGTCCGTATCGGAGACGGACGTCATATTAGGAGATATCTCCTCTTAAATAACCTTATTATAAGTGTTCATAGGAATGTTGAATATACACATAACTTTACGAAAAAAGTGCACGTGGGTCAGGAAGTCACCGTGTCCTAAGGACCATCAAATGTTCTCTGAAAGTTCTATTTTATTTTTATCCGTCAAGGTCAGAAAAAGCTTTTCTGTTGACGCGAAAACTGGATAAGAGATAAGGTAAATTCTTTTCAATCTTCACAACAACACTGATACCAAAATAATTATCTCAACCAGCTGTCATTTTCACGAGAGATAGAGACAGACAGACAGACAGACAGACAGACAGACAGACAGACAGACAGACAGACAGACAGACAGACAGACAGACAGACAGACAGACAGACAGACAGACAGACAGACAGACAGACAGACAGACACACACACATACGGAGACAGAGAGAGAGAGAGACAGAGAGAGAGAGAGAGAGAGAGAGAGAGAGAGAGAGAGAGAGAGAGAGAGAGAGAGAGAGAGAGAGAGAGAGAGGGAGAGGGGGAGAGAGAGACAGAGAGACAGAGAAGCAGTACAATGTAAAGTGTGCCATAAAACGTAACAAGAAAGATAAACAATTTTTAAAATGAATTATTTCTTCTGTTTTTGAAACAGTTATATAAACTCACTTCTTTTTGCTTGCCTATCACCCTTGTTGTAACCTTCATTTGATGTAGGTTTTCTTACACCCCAACTGAACCAATTTATATAGTTTAAGAGTCGGGTTTCGATCCTGCCTGTCTGGGCCAATCCAGACTGAGAGGGATAATAATAATAATAATAATAATATATAGCATTTGTATAGCGCATATCCCCGCTCAGCAGCAGGCTCTATGCGCTTTACACTATATTAAAACATCCCAGCAGAAAGACCAACTTACTCGATTTTAAAAAATCTTATGTCACGGGAATTGAACTGTGGTCTTCTGCGTGCGAAGGCGAAGTGCCTAACCGCTACACCATAGACGCCGATATGGACAACATGACCTGTAGTTTTACTTTGAATAATATGTGAGACAAAATGTGTTTAATAAAGTAATGAAATAACATAAAGACTGCAACTGTGTTGGGTTTTTTACATAAAAGTTTATTACATTCATAGCTGCACAACATTACGAACATGTATACATAAACATTTTTTTATCATTACAAAAACCCTTAAAGCAACCCCCCAAAAACAACAACAACAACAACAACAAACAAACAAACAAACAAAACAAAACAAAAAACAAACACACAAAACAACAACGAACTTTAGCATAATTATATGTATTTGTTATTCAGACAGGAAGTGTGCCTAAAATTTTTATCAACCTTCCTTTGACAAACACATGTTCAAATTACTCAATCAAACTTTTAAGGCGCACATGGAATTGGAAACGGAACACTTTTTAAAATAAAGCAGGCAAAAAAGTTGAAGTACATGAAAAATTACATCCGAAGATTTCATTTTAAAAAAAGAATATCAAAATTAATTTAATTATCCCTGTTGGTACACTGCTGCTAGGATTTTTTAAAAAAAGAATCCCAGTACACTGTGAATTCATGCAAGCTCGTTTCGGTCTTTCAGGAAAGTAACAAAAGTAGCATATTTACTCAGTAGGCCTACATCGTATTTTGAATTCCATTAACCTATTTCTAAGATGGAGTTTGAATGCACTTATTCTCATTTACAGATGCACTGGTTATCGTCAGACATTGACGGACACAAACTATTGTCATATGATTCATTTCCAAGTGCAAAGGATTTGTATATTATTTAACTGGTACATGTAATGGCTTACCGGATTATTTCCATTTTGTTGGGGTTGGAACTAAATT